TCTTCTTCCCAGTTCATTTCCTAAATCTACCAGTCCTTCGATTAAATCTGTTCTCTCATTGTAATCTACTTTCATTTTTAGAGCCATTTCGTCAAAAATTAGCAAACATACTTGTTCTGACGGTTTCATAGTTCCAGCTTTCAAAGACAATTGTGTGAAAACATTTCTGTTGAATCCTGGTTCACATCTGAAATTTTCCAACCATTTTTTTATTGTGAAAATTGCTGGAAGGATTATGCCTTTTTGTCTCATATATAGTTGTATGCTGAAGGACTCTTATAATATAAGGATATGTCTCAGTTGCATATTCAATAATGTTTTGGATAAATTTGTTGGAGCATTTGAAATCCTTGGAAATCACTGCTACTAGAGCTACTCTCAATGATATTGTCTTCAAAAAGTCTTCTGTTAATGCCTACATAACATTTTGAACACCAAGCCACATCTAATGAAGGCGGGCTATTTTCCACACAGCTACTGTCTGAAACAAACTTTTCCGGAACAGCATCTACTAGCAAGGTTCTTGCAGCCACTTGATCAGCAGAAAAATGGTTACTGCATAAAAAATTCTTCCGCAAAGCCTTTGGACTAAAATCTGCCAATCTGCCATTACCTATAATAACAATTAGTGACACTGTAGCCACCTCCAAACAGATACAAAGGGTTACGGGAGATATGAAGTTGAAAAATAGAGGTGCCATTTACACATTGAAGCGTCATTGTACAAAATATATTCATTTATTTCACTACAAAGGTAGGCATGTTCAAGAAAAAATGTTTTTCCTAACTTTCAACACACAAGGAAAAAGATTTTTGATAGCATTCTCTGGTTCAACCAATTTTAGAATATTGTGTTTGGTCACCCACTACAAAATACATTACTCAGAACTTCAACATTTATATTAATTATGCCCCTTTTAACCAATAAAACGTTAAAAAAAAATTGTCCTACACATACTCGTAATTGAACAAATTTTGAACATGAGCTGAGAAGGCTGATTGGTTTGTAGTTTTCGAATGATTCGGGGTTTCCTTTTTTATAACATGGTTGTATTACTGCAACTTTGAGATTTGAAGGGAAAACTACAGTTTTGAGTGGAGCATTAATGATGATACAGTCATTGAATTTTTGGCGAAAAATGGCTTTCACGAATGAAGAAAAAAGAGATATGATGCAAATGTATTACAAATACGATAAAAACAGTGTTAGGACATCGGGAATGTATTTAAACTTGTGTCGCCATTCAACTATTTTCGTATCTCTCATATAGTTACTGAGATCCCAATGGCGAGGATATACCGAAATTTCGTCATACCCTGAACTTTTTTTATTTTCCAACTTCGGTCACATTTTGTAATGGTACAAAAAAACCGAGATTTTTCGTTATATGTTGTATGTATACTCAATTTGTGAATCTCTAATGAACAATTCATTAGTGAAATGTAGTATATCTATTCAAGTTCTAATGTATAACTGATAATGCATAATTTTCAATGAGCAATCTGTAGGTATTCTATTTTTCACTAGACATTTCTTTTTTGTAAAACATAATTTTTGATGTTTACTGTGCAAAACAACTGTTCCTTTTAAAAATCCTACTAAAACGCTTGCAAAACCTGAAGTCATTGACCATAACATCCAGAGTTTCAAATCTCCGAGTCCGTGCAGGAGCATTTCTGAAATTGTGCACATCTAATCTAACTTATTATTTGAGAACTCAACGTTTTCAATTATAAAATGTATCTATTTTGTTACCTACTACAAAATGAGAGTAAAACTACATATTGATACAACAAGGCTTTTCACAAGCCTTCATACTAACAAAATATGACAATAAATCACATTTTGAAATTATATTTATAACCTATGTTATACCATGTAGCTAAAAACTTACCAGAATGCAATATCCATTGTTTGCACCTTTCAGGGTCCTTCACTGGAAATCTATAGAACCTCAAAGATTTGTCAGTCCTGGCGGTTTGACCACATTTATAAAATTGAAACTTATTTCCAGACATCTAAAAAAATAACAATAACTGTTGATATTGCAAATTTCAACTGAAAAAAATCATTTAACTCTTTTTTTAATAAGATGTTTCCGATGTTTTAAAAAAATAAGTTTAACTTTAATTGAAACTGGCAGAATACTTACTATTTACAAATGTATCCCAAATACAAACGGGTTTAGCCTCTCCAAAAAATCACACAGTACACAAATGAAATATTGACACAAATGAAATATTGATAGCAAATGCCACTATTACCAAATTCTCAATTATTCTAATTCTCTAATTATAATTGAACACAAAGGATATTATCTAGTTGTTAATTCCGTACATCCGGTACATACCAGTAATCTACCTGATCCCTTCTTTATACAATGCTACATAAATATTGTAAACTCGTACACAATGACCCTAATACGGATCTGCCTAGGATGTTCTAGGTAAAAATCTTCATGACAAGCAATTTTCGACTCTATTGATGGCGGGGAGATGAAATTCAAACGCGAGTCTCCTTTTTCAGTAACGCCATCTAGTAACAGTCTCCTTTTCTGTCAAATATAATTTTCATAAGATTATTCTACTAGGTTAGTCTATATACAAAGCTAGTATCGTTGATCTTCTTTGAAATATTTCTCAACTTTTCGTCGCATAATAAAAAAAATACTGGTTTCCATACACCGCCCTCTCGCGGCAAGAATTTTCGTGATTGCCTTCATTTTAAGGTGATACCTTTGTATATAAATTCACAAAGGTATCAACAAAGGTTTATATAAATATACATAGGTGATACGAAGTTTGTCGGTCACATCTGATACTAGATAATTATTTATGCATTTCGCAACAAACTATCGCTTTACTTTAGATAAAAATGTGTGCATTACCATCTGCAGCAGGAGTGAACTTTTCGTCGGCTGTCACTAATATTGCTGGTAAAAAGTTATTTGGAAAGAACGAAGGCGCTGAAGGGCGGCAGATAATTGTATTCAATATTTTACAGTACACACTGTCGATTTACTGAAATCGATCTTTTGAAATGGTTCCACAAACGAATTAGTATCATAAGTATCTTTCGAATACTGCTACACTCTACAGAATTGTTTTAATTTTTAGAAATAAAATCACGAAGAATGCAGTGAAGATTGAGATTTTTCAATAAAATTATTTCATTGCGTTTACATAAAATACAAGGGTGTAGAGACTGTTTTGATGGTAAATAGAAAGTATTCTCGTAGAGGTAATTCAAAAAAATGATTTTTAAGATTCTGGTGATCTTCAAACAAGTATATAGTTAAGAAATACCTTTTAAAAATTGAAATAATAACGCCAATGACTTTTCAAGAAAAGATCTTTAGCAGCTAACTTCACACGTGATGAAAATTATCTGATGTCGGTGGTTCCCTGCACAGAACTATAACTTAGTTAAGTTAGTTAAAGTTCTGTGGTTCCCTGTCTCCCTTTGTGATGTTTATTTGTTTTGACTTTCCGTTTTTTGACAGTAGTCAATGTCAATAAATCAGGAGTAGTGTAGTTGTGGTGGTGGTATTAATAGTATTGGCAGATATTATTTTAGTAACCACTTTTTAGTTTTACTTTGATTTTTTTCTGTTATTTCTTGTTTTTGGTGCAATAACACAAACGTTACTGTCGATAAATGCATATAAGGTAGGTACGCTTTTTTTGAAATGCATTCAATATATTTTAAGAATTTGCCATTATTAATTTTTCTCTGAATTTTGAAATAATGATTCATACCACCATCTGCAATGTTTTGTTTAGATGATGATTTGATGAGAGATTGAAAAGATTAATAGTTGGTTTCAATGTACTAACAAGCTTTGAGTTTTCTTATTTTTGGGGTCATTTTTCATGGAAAGATTATTCATTTTTGTCTTATATGGAACCATTCTTGAGGAATTCTCTTCAATTTCTGGGATAGCATACTAACACTGTGTATTGATCTTCAGAAAAACAAGTTTATAAAAATGCCACAATAGAAATTTAAAATCATTCAAATTCAAATACTTCAATATGTATGTTGAGTCTTGACCAACTAATGTATTTTTTATTTGACTCAAAAACTCAAAATACACATGTAGGCCACTCTAATCCTATAAAAAGAGGCAAATCGGTACCTACATGTGTGGGCAACAACTTGCGACTCATGTAAATCATTCATTAAGTATGAAATTCCAATAATAGTAGCTTTTTTTTATTGGAAGTCAACTGAACGAGTTATAGTCCCAAATATTGAATTGCTTATTCTAAGTAAGAGTGATGACATATCTCCTTATGAAGACGCCATCTATGGGTTTGACAGAGAACTTAATCCTAGATAAGCTGTGAGGACTACGACAAACCCAGAATGATACAATAAATAAATGTGAACATTTACTGAAACTGAATGATCGTACAATGCTGTATGACAATATGTATGATCACAAAACATATTCATCTACTGTCAAGATATAATGATTTTGAACTCCATCTGATAGAAACCGATATTCTGAATACCTATAAAAAGGTATGCACCGCCCTGAATCAGAGAAGTGGAAAGAAGCCATTGCAGATGAGTTTTAAGCTCTCAAGAAAAACAAAAGCAATTAGATCAAAACGGGTATTCAAGATGAAAAAAAAAATGAGGGATGTGTTTGTTACTATAAAGCTAGATTATGTTCGAAAGAGTTTTCACAAACCAAACCGTATGGAGTTATGTTTTCTAGCTGTTGCTGTTCAATGCAATAAGACAGTTCGTAGTTGACAGTTGGATGTCTTTCCCAGAATGCTGTCACTTGCATTGCCAACAAGTAGTCTGCTAGACTCCTCATAAGCCTGTTTTATGCAATTGGCAATATGCACGATTCTGTATGCTGTCCATCTAGCCTGTCTCTCACTAGGAATGTGTGGAGAGGGGAAGGTCTAGAAGAATTTCTAAAGCGCATAGATGAGTGGATAAACAGTCAAACAGATAAACATTTTGTTTTTTTTTCAGCTATATTCGCTAAGCAATATGGAAAATGAGGAAGCAAACAATGCTGGTTACACTGATACCGAAGAAAGTGGTGACTATAATGAAGTATCTATGACAAGACCAAGTTTGGGCTCAGATGGAGATTATGATGATGAATTGGGGATCCCTGAGTCAATAAAAGTTGTTGACATGGGCGATGGACCAGTGGCAATAGAAAATTCTGATGAGGAGCTGGAAAGTTAGTAAAACTTGTATTTTGAAATTAATTAATTCACATGCTCTATTAACATATAATCTCAGAAGTACAAAGTATGTTCAGACTGTTGTGTAATAACTGATATTTATTTCCATACATTTCAATTGGAAAAGTGTTTCAAAGTTTGAGGAAAATACCGAATTGGGATAACAGAGCAACAAGCGTTGTTAAAAATCCATGGGCATCCTCTATACAAGTTCTGTATACACTTTTAATAAAAGTATTCAAATATTGTGAAAATATATCACAAAATTCAGTACTCAGAAATTTTCACAGAAAAAATAGCTTGATCAGAGGAGCATTTTATTCCTTAGGTGATTATATCAATAACTCTGGCTAATCTTACTATTATGTAATTAGCTTTTAATATGAGTAATTAACTTTTAATTAGCTTTTAATATATTTCATTCCATGTATTTTATCTTGATAAAGAAAGATTGATAAAGTATCTATCTATCTAATGGCAATGCCACCATGTTTGTATTTTGTCTACAGAACTGAGCAGCTAAAAATAATAAAAACATTTAGCAAAAAAAGTTCGCCTTTGAAATAAAATTCCTCCGTATTTTAAATAATTTTTTAAAAAGTGCACTTTTCAAGTAAACACGATGTATTACTGACTTTGCTTATCTTCTCCAATCAAATTTTTAAGGTATGAATCATGGTTAAGTAAGTCAATTATCTCATTTATCATCAGCCAAATTCCAGTGTTCCAAATGCAACCATTTGAATTACACTTTACTGAAATTAAGTACCTATAAAAAAAAATAATAAATTTTATGTGTTGTATTTTCAAAGGCACGACATTAAAAAAAGTTGAAGGACTAGCTTAAATAAACACTTATTACACTTCGTATACAGTAGGAGTGTCATTACTTTTTTTGCTAATACCTCCTGCAACATTTAAACATCTATTAATACATAATTTTAACCGCCTGCCATCTATCAGTCATTCTGATGAATAGTCTCTCAAATATTCACCATTTCCTTTTATATACAAATAATAGTTTGAACCTGTCCAACATTTATGTCCAAACTTTTTCAAGGCAAGTTAATTAGAATGTGTGCTTTCCAACATTACGATAATTTTTCTGCTGAAAACATATGATGATTGAATAGCACACTTTTTTCACTCTACGAAGATATGTTGGTATTGATGATATTTTATGTGAGATTTCCACTAAACAGTTAACTGATACTATTGACATGTTCAGTATTAATAATAATATTAGATATTTCAAAATATTCATCAGACTCAAATCTTTGCACGAGTTTCCATTCAAAATTCGGTTTCGGTCGAGTTTCGGCAAAAAAACTGATTTCAGTTTAGTTTCGGTTTCAGCGGTAAACCTTCCGAAACTGCGACCGAAACCGAAACTGCATTCGGGAGTTCTCGTGCTGTGATCGGTCATGTTCGGCGCGCTGAATTTAATACAAGCGATGAATAAATTTTACCGCATCCACGTGCCTAATCATATCGTGACTTACTTTGTGATTTACTTTGTTCATTACATAAATATTAAGTACCTATTGTGATATAGATAAGATAACAACTTAAATAAGTAATTTTATGTTTAATATATTTGAAAAACCATTAATGATATTCAAAAGAAAAATCAACACCTACTCAAATAAACACCTCACCTATTTTAAGTATTTTTAAGGTGCAATTATTATTGGTGATCGAAACACGTGTCGAGGTGTTAAAATAACGGTTTGGTGTTGGGAAAAAACTCCAGTAATATTCATTACTACACCAAAGGTTCCAAACAGTGCATCACAAGGGGTTGTTATGTTGATTTGTTGATTTTCAATAAGTAAAAATGTTGAAGATTTTATAACGTTGATTTAAAGATAATAAAATAAAGACTGACTGATTATAATACCATTTTCTTCATTTTTCCCTCAAAACTTAATCCTTGCACAAGTATTTAAAACTGCTTTGATAGTCCAGTACAAATCTACTGTCTCCTTGAAACTGGAAGATGTATGAAGCTCATGAGAATACTAGAGGTGAATACTACATGGGTGAAAAGAAGGTAATTAGTGGGAAAGTCTCCGAGCCGGTGGGAAGAAGAAAAAAAGGCACATGAGAATTGCAGGAAAGAAAAGGTTAGAGATGAAATTATCTGGGATATGAAGGGTCTCAAGATAATAAATGAGGAATAAAAAAGAATCAGAGAGAGAATCAGGGAAGAGTAGCAAAGGAAATGAGATACAGGACGGACTTGGGTATGAGACAATAACTTTGACTTGGAAGGACATCCAGCTGATAACCAAACATGACGACTTCCCAGTATATCTCGCTGGTATAACCTGAGACCTGGGCTGCCATGTCGCAGCGGTTGGGGGTAGCTTGAAACGGCAGAGCCAACTGTCATGGATGCATTATGTTTTGGAAGAAGAAAATATGGGAAAACCGTCCCCTTCTGCTCATTTTTATCATTATTACTTGTAATTTTTTTTGTATCATCGTATTAATAATTTCCAAAAATGTGTTTGATGGTGTGTATTTTTTTGTAATTACCACTTATGAATACCTTGAAGTAGCCTGGAGATCTCTAGGCAAAATGTTGCTTTCCGTAAGTTTGCCTAAGTATTGAACACAACAAAAACACATTTTCTTTTTGGGAAAGAAAGGTTTTGGCTTTCTACTTCTCCATCTTTATACAAAAAAATGTGGGAATCTTCCAAAGAAAGGAAGAAAGCAATCCATTTGGTTGACAACTGGTTAACGGAAAAACATATTCAGAACTCTATAGAAAGATGTGTAGATCATGCAAAGAAGTAACTTCCAGATACCAACTGAAATAAAAAGCCCTCTCAAAACAATTACTCTTATATAAACATTGAATTACACAAAAGAAAAATACTTTTGAAACAACTAATCTCATATGAACATTGAATTATACAAAAAACACTTTTTTCTATTCAATTTGTATTCCATTTGTTTTATAATTGAGTCAGAATATCATTCACATGATTGCAACACAATATAGTTTATGAAAGAGGTGAAATTTCTCTTACATGGAACATTGTCGTCCTCATTGGTGGACTTCCGATGTTTTGGAATAAGACACTTGCTTCATTGCCTCTTCAGCACTAATCTGGACAACATGAATCAATAATCCCGAGAAACATTCATTTGATTCAACTGGAATGTGAGAGACAGGAGGGACAGACGGAGAATGAACGGTGTGAACACTGGGGCAGGGCATTTAACTATTGTTAGGTCAGTGTGAAGGGTGTAGCACTCCTATTATATATACAATAAAACTGGGGTATTTTTTTCTGCTGCGGGTGAGAAGGAGTTCACTTGGCAGTGGTAACGACAGATATGGTGAAGACGCCCTGCTCAAAGATTAGAATAATTTATAGAGTTGAGGTGTTCACTGAAGGGTACTAAATTGTATGTTCAAAAATAGTGGCCAGAATGGCGCTCATGTACTAGAAGGTTTCTCTAATTGATGCTGTTCTTTTCAACAAAAAAAATTCTACACCTCAGATGTACAGCAGTTTTCTCATCTCTCATTTTACCAACCACAACTACCATTACTAGCAGATGATTAAAAAGATATTGGGTCATCTTCTGAGTTCGTTAATATGGTTGGTTTTACATTTCATCGCTTCTTCAGACCATGGGGGGATGTAGTACTTAATAAAAGTATCATAAGTAAAAGATCGTCTGCTAACCTACTTCAACATTTTAAATTTTGGTGTAAAGTGTACATCTGTTTTTTTTCAGTAAAAATTGATAAAAGTAACTTACTTATGTTAGTACATAGATGGATTATCCTACAGTACTATCCATAATTATAAAAAATTCACGTCATACAATCGTGATGTTTTCATACCTGGAGTGGATATTACAGCTGCTATCACAGATTACGAGAGAAATTTGACATCACACATGCTGAATCCAAACTTGTGAGTATATTTTTCAAGGGCTGCTTTGGAAACATATGGATCATATAAGGGCTGCTCAAATAGTAACGCTTCACAGAAAAAATAGTCATTTATTTTTCCAAATGAAATATAAATGATCTTTTTTGAGTCTTCTTGGTCTAATACACTTTTTACTAGAATGAACTGAAGTTGTGAAGGAAAAATCTGGACTGTATGGTAGGTACAACAACATGATTGCTTGTACCTTCCAAACAAAAATTTATTTATATACTGTGAAATTCCTACTTTTAATCTCTTCAAATTTTACATACCAGCAGATTCTATCGTCATAAAATCAAATAAAAACTATAAAACATGTAATATTTGACACAATAAAATTTTTCAGTGGAATGGCATTCGATATATAAAATAATTAAAACAAATTTAATGAAAAAGTACACTTTTGTATGTCATCAGATATTTTGAGTTTTGTTTCAAAACTGTCTTATTTGATTTACTTATTAATATATAGGTAGTTTTTGCACAATTTTATTATAAACATAAAGCTGTCAGAAAATAAATTATGAGAAATTCGTATCTGTTGGTTAAAATTTATTCAAGAACAATCCCAATATTGGTTATTACTTATTTCTTCAGTACTGTTCGTGAGCTCCACTGGAAGGCAATCGGTTCAGGTTCAAGTGTATTGGTTGGTCAGATGACTCAATTAAGTGACTCACGGCTTGCCTCTTATTACCAATCCTTGGTCTTGTGAAAATATGTCTCTGTAGTTAACTTACTAATTTTGTAAGATCGGAAATAGTAAAAACTGAAAACCAGTACAGACCTTGTGATTTCATTCATTTTTTCGTTTACTCGTCCACCAAACTGCACACGATCTTGACACAAGAAGTCACGAAGGCACAATGTAGCATTTGCTATAATGTTCATCATCAAAAATACTCTGGAAACTGACATGTTTAGGTATGCGGTAAGCTCCTTAACGGCGATTCTGAATTTCTATCGCCTCCCTATGTAGTTTTGGATAGTATCAATCATTTGGGTCTCTTCAACCCCGATTATTTGTTTACCTTCTTTAAGTGCATTGTGCAATGACAATTATCTAAACTTTTTTTCACAGTATGTTGACATTCCAACATGCATGTTCTGCTTTTGCTTTTAATAAATTACTAACCCATTTGTTCAGAATAAATTTCTAATTTTATCATATTACATAGTTATATTTCTTAGCTTCTGCTCACAAGAAATATTGAAGCTCCAGAAAAACACTTTACTATGTATGATTAATAACATACACTCTGCCACGATCTCATCTCTCATTTCTATTGACAACAGCTCTAACTCCCTGTTTCCAGGCAACAACCTATCTAAATCTAACATATTCAAAGGAATATAACTCTGTAGACATGAAAATACTACCTTCACACGTAAAATTCAGGATATAGTCTGTGTTATTTGAAAGTCGAAAATTTTTAAATCATTTACATTTACAAGTATAGGCATTTTGTAAAACATTTCTGACGTGTAAAAGATCTTTTACACTAAAAAATTATCACAGCCTGGCAGAATATTTTGTGGTCAGGTTTTGAAATATGCTTCTGTATCAGATTTTAAGGACAAACCACACACCACAGAAAAATCCTTAAGGCGCTCTAAGAGCGGTGTCTGTGCGAAAGTAGCGATACACATTGGATTTGAATCGCTGGAGATCAAATTCATTTGAAAATACGTTTTCAAGAAGTTTATTCCACATAAAGAGTAATCAACAGTTTGAGGTGTCCTGAGTTGAACCTCAAAGCGATGAGTAGCCTGTTCTGTCCATATACTCTGCTCTTGTCTCTAAGCATTATTTTATAGTTTATATTTGTTAATTGTCCCATATAGATGTTTTACTTTACTAGACTTTGCCAATAAGATGTTCATATCTTGGGTAATAAAGCATATTTTGATTTGATTTGATTAGCCACAGTCGGTTGCGTTTTTCTGATATGTACAGCTTTTGGTACAACTGTGCGCAGTCACTTGAACACTTCCCGTGAAAGTAGACAAATCTCAAACCTTTCTTCGATGTTCCAGACTAGCAAGGTTGCAAGTGATGTTCGCTTCTTCAATTAGGCAACTGGCTCTTTCCAAAGTAGGTATGATCTGAGCTTCATAAATCATCAAAAGTTGCAGAGGTTTTCTGGTTCAGAACAGTGTCCCAAGCGTTTGAGAAGCAGCCTTTGCAATTCCAGCAACATATTTCCACTTGAATGTTCATTTTCATAATTTTATTTTTATTTTACATTGACATTAATGATTTTCATTTTATTTCTATATGTAATTTTATTTTGTGCTTTGTCAGTAAGATATTTTTCTTAGACAATAAACTACAGTTACTGATTTATTTGTGGTCAGAGAGCCGGGAACGTAAACTTCTCTTTGTGATTCTAATGCTACAAGGGATTCGGTAACACAGCTACAAAGTATCCGGTTACCCTCAGTGTTGCTAAAAGCCCTCTGGAGACCTTAACTGATCTTAGGCTCTCTCTGATGGTTTTAGTTACTTTGAATATCAATTTCTAATTGTGTTTTTCCAGAACTTTCTCGATCCGGCCCATAACAATCTTCACATAGGGAAGGAAAACTTTTCTATTTATAAACTCATGTGGAGTTGCCTTGGTATTTTTTCTAGGAATTGGAAAAGTAAAGCTGATTTCGAGTGGGCAGTATGACTCAAAACTATGAAAATCAGTGACCCAAACCAACAATTGTACTGTAGTAAAACCAGAATACTTCGTCTGTTGTCTAGTCGTCTTTGATAATGTCTACTCCAGTCGTAGACGAGACATCAGGCAAAAACCTGCCGACCACGGCCAATAATCCTGATACGAGGCACTCCACTTATATAGAAATATACCCACGTCATTACATATTGAACATATAACATAGCTAATAAAACTATTCATACTTATATTTTCAATTTTTACCTAATCTCACTGAAAATTTCACATCATAACTTTGTATCAATACTTGACCTGAAATTGACCATTATAGATGACTAAAATAATAGGCTACATGGTGATATGCAAGTCCCTCAGATTTTTCCTCTCGGAATTACTATAATCATTATTTTCGAATAGCTCTTATATTCGAATGTAGATTTGTGTCCCAAAAAGGATATTTGTTATTGGGTGTATAAAAATAATTCAATTGTGTTTATGAAATAGTTTAGAAATTTTGTATATTGAGTTAGTTGCATTAAAAAACTTAGTTTTCATGGTTTTTAAACCCATTTATTTCTGCTGAAAGTAACTGTATTTTCAGGTATACAATTTCTTTGGTACACGGCAGTTATTCATGGCAGATAAAGAAAAGGTATAAACAGATCCAACATTTACATCAACAACTGGTTCTGTTCAGAACAAGTTTAAATATTCCTTTTCCCAGTAAAACCCACAAAAATAAAAGGAGAACTTTCAAAGAAAATGCAGGAAAAGTGCCCAAAGGAAAGCGAAAAAGTGCTTTGCCCAGGTAAGGTGACTTGAACTTGATTGGTAAAATTAAGGAAATCAAAGGCGGAGTTCAGGCAGAAATCAGCGAGATAAAAGAAACAATTAGCAAGTTGCAAAACCAAATCGTTAATTCTGCCCACCCCACAGAAACGGTTACCGAAAACTCAATTCCGGAACTGAAAGATGTCAAACTCAGTTATGAACCAGGAAAGCTCTCCATGAAGCCGCCCCAGTTCGACGGAAAAACTCCTTGGGCAAATTAGCGCCGACAATTTGAAGCTGCGGCCAGATCGAATGGATGGAATGCAGGAGAAAAAGCGGTAGCATTAACATTGGCGTTGCTTGGAGAAACAACAAATATTTTGCAAACCCCCACGGCCCAGGAACAGGAAGACTATGACCAACTTGTAAAGCATCTTGAGCTGCGGTATGGACAAGCCCACCTAGAGCACCTTTACCATTCACAGCTGAAGAACCGCTGCCAGAAATCAGGAGAATCCCTACAGGAGTTTGAAGCCGACATAGCTTGATTGGTTCGTCTAACATATCCTGTTACACCGGAAAATGTAATGGAGCAGTTAGCAGTTCAGGCATTCTTGGATGGACTTCGCGACCAAGAAACGAGGCAGGACTTGACGCTAGCTCTTCCCAAACATCTCGTGGATGCACTGGCAAGCGCTCTGGAGTTTGAGGCTGCAAAACAATCCTGGAAGAGACAGAGCAAAGTTCGAGCTATCGAGGAAGATGGACAAGTGCCTGCTGATATTGAGGCCACCATCAGAAAAGTAATGAAAGAAGTGTTGCCTGAGAAAAAACAAATAAGATGCTGGAACTGTGGAACTGTGCAGCTTTCAAAGAATCGACACCAAATCAGGAAAACTAGAGGGGGTCGATGAGAAGGGGCAATCGTCGGCCTGTACCCAGCAAGCCCCCGTAAAAAACGCATATGTTGCCGTTCTCCAATGACAACACAAAGGTGTTTTCGTAGACGGCCTCATCAACAACGAGCCGTGCACCATGCTGCTAGATACAGGTGCGACGAGAACCATTCTTGGGCCAACCTTTGCCAAAACACCGGCAAGAATTGAACCGTCAAGCTGGAAGCTACGCAACGCAACAGGGGAGCCAGCCACTGTACTTGGAGAACTATCAATCGAATTGACGTTAGGCAGCACTAAATTTCACCATCAAACATTGGCGGCGGACATCGAGGACGATGCGATCATTGGAATGGACATAATGAATTCCAGAGGGTCCAAGCTGAATTTTCAAGACGGCGTCCTACGTGTCGGCGGAGAAGAGCTGGTGCTTCATGGAAGAAACGAAGAGACGATCAGGGTCCTGTTGGTTGAAGACGTCTGCGTACCTGAAAGGGCTGAAACCATCCTGGAGGCTCGCTTGGACGGAAGTGCGAGCAGCGGCAAGGTGGTAATGTTCGAGCCCAAGATACATGATGAGAAAATTGGACGAGGAATCGCACTGGGGAAGACCCTGTTGCGTGTTGATAAAGTTGTGCCGGTCAGGGTCATGAATGTCAACTACTTTCCCGTGACCTTGAAGAAAGGAACAATGCTGGGGCACTGTTCGTCTATTTCTTCTGTGATACGGAGGGTACGCAGTTCGGTTAGCTAAGCCAACAACTTGCCTAAAGAGTTGTAGAAGTTGATTGTCATTTCCTCCAAGGACATACCACTAACTCACTGATCAAAATTGAGGAAGATAGTCAAGAAGTACCAGGAAATCTTCCGATATTGGAGAAAGAAAAGGCGGCAGAACGAATGTGGTTCAGCACAGAATCGACACTGGGAATGTCCGAACAATCCGGCAATCAGCTAGAAGACTCCCTCTTGCCAAGAGAGAAGAGGCAGACAAGAAAGTCAGCGATATGGGAAAAGAAGGATTCATCGAACCTTCTGACAGCCCATGGTCTTCCCCAGTCGTATTAGTGAAGAAGAAGGACGGCTCGACAAGGTTCTGCGTGGATGATCGCCGACTAAATCACGTGACAGCTACCCTCTTCCAAGAATCGACGACACTCTAGACACGCTAGCCGTCTCCACAATTTTCTTGACTTTGGATTTGAAGAGTGGATATTCAAGTTAAATTGGCCCCAGAAGATCGAGAAAAGACTGCTTTCACCATCGGCTCAGGATTGTGGCAGTTCACGGTTATGCCATTCGGGCTTTGTAATGCTCCAGCGACCTTCGAGAGATTGATGGGGACGGTTCTCAAGGGGCTCTCATGGAAGACGTGTCTAGGATATCTCGACAATATAATCGTGGTCGGAAAATCGTTCGACGATCACTTAAAAAATCTGGAGGAGGTATTCATGCACCTGAGGAGTTCTGGATTGAAACTTAGTCCCAAGAAATGCCATCTGTTCCAGAAAGAAGTTCGTTACCTTGGCCACGTTGTCTCTGGGGAAGGAGTGGCAGTGAACGAACAAAAGATCAAAGCAGTTAAGGATTTGCCCATTTCAAAAGACATACATCAGCTTCGGAGCTTCCTTGGTTTATCCACCTACTACCACAGGTACGTGCTGGGGTTTGCCAACATCGCCAAACCATTGACCCGACTCACAGAAGGGCAGATTCAGTTCCAGTGATCTGAGGAATGCCAAGACTCATTCAAGAAGTTGAAAAGAGCTTTGATCAACGCTCTTGTTTTGAGTTATCCCCTACCTGACGGAAAGTTCATTTTAGATACGGACGCCAGCAACGTGGGACTTGTTGCCAGTAACGGACCTCGGATACGACCGAAAGCTCCAATGCGCCAGTATAACGTGGACAGTCCTTTTGAGAGAATCACCATCGACATCGCCGGCCCGTTTCCAGAGTCCGACCATGGGAACAAATACATCCTAGTAGCCATGGACTACTTCAGTAAGTGGGCGGAAGCCTATGCCCTGCGCAACCAAGAAGCCTTTACCGTCGCTGACGTCCTGGTAAAGGAATGGATATGTCGATTTGGTGTCCCATTGGAACTGCATTCGGACTAGGGCAGAAATTTCGAGTCCAACCTGTACCAAGAAATATGTTTACTGTTGGACATTCGAAAGACCAGAACCACAGCCTCACATCTACAGTCCGATGGAATGGTGGAACGAATGAATAAGACCATAAACCGCCACTTGTCCAAGGTAGTCTCTAACCATCAAAGAGACTGGGACCAATACCTCCACCTGTTCCTGCTGGCTTATCTTTCGGCAGTACACGAGTCAACCTGCCAAACCCCTGCCAGTATTATAATGGGCCGAGAGCTGCGACTTCCTTACGACCTGAAATTTGGGACGCCGCCAGAACAAGACACTGCGGGGGAAGACTATGTCAGCAAGCTTCGGTAGAGAATAGAAGACATCCATGAACTAGTTCGTCTGAACATCCGAAGTGTCAGCGATAGGATGAAGAAGGCCTATGACATCAAGGCGAATGCTGGAGGATTCGAAACCGGTGACCTAGTTTGGCTGTGCAATCCTAAACGACGCCGTGGTTTATCACCGAAGTTGCGGAACTCGTGGGAGGGTCCGTACAAAATCATGAAAAAGATTAATGACCTCGTCTACCGAATCCATAAGCCACCTCGAGGAAAGCCTAGGGTTGTCCATTTCAATAGATTGGCTCCTTATGCTGGAAATCACGACCAAGTTCGCGCCCTCAGACCACCAGAGGATGAAATGACGTTCCAGTTCCAGACGTTATACTTGAACGGACAGAAGGTCGTACACGGGGTAACTCGAGAAGGGCCATGTGACCTTTTCATGGTTCCAGATGATTACGCACTAGCTCACTGCGTGGCAGAGGATCTTCAAATGTCCAAGGGTATCGCTGTGGTATTCAACAAGAAATTCGGTCAACTCCAAACATTACGAGAACAGAATCCAGAAGTCGGAGGAGTGCTACAGTTGAAGAAGGATGAGAGAAACATTTTCTACTTGGTGACCAAAAAGCATTCTCGAGACAAACCGTCCTATGAAGATGTCTGGAGGAGTCTTACTAGACTGAAGGACACGATGCTCGACCAGAATGTCGTGGACTTGGCAATCCCGAAATTAGCCTCTGGGCTCGACAGGCTGGACTGGAGAATTGTGAGAAGCATGTTGGAAACGATCTTCAGATCCAGCGGCATCCATATTTTGGTGTGTGGTAACCATCTTCCACGACCGAGCATGAAGACTGTGGAGTGTTACTTCCATCGAAATTCACAGTGCAGATATGGGGAGTCCTGCAGGTATCGACACACGCCAAGGATGACATTTCGGGGCGAAACGTCTTTAAGAAGGGGGCAATGTAACGAATCTGAAGCCGGCCCTGACCGATATCTCAGCCAGCAAACACATGACTCATCGCGAAAGGTATAGATGAGTGCCGAAACCTCTAGAGAGATCTGGAGTGATCGTTGCCGATATAAAAAGGCCGCTTCCCGTCCCGAGCAACAGTCTGTATTCAGAAAGCGAATCGTGCGTTTAAATAAAGAGTTCGAACAGTGAAGATAAATTAAGCGTTAGTTGCTAAGTGTGGAATATAAATTAGTTGTGATAGTGAAATATTGTTAAAAATAAATTTGTTTAAGACATTTAATTCTTTAATTCGTTACAATAAGAATATTATGTTATAAAAACTATATTGCACAGTATAAATTAATAATTTTATCACAAAAAGATCCATTGTAGTAGGTGCAGTTATATTCCACCACTAACGCTCTATTTCAGGTATTAGTCGTTTCATCTATCTTTTATATTGTCTTTTGTAGAGATAAAGTGCTGCAAAAACATATACTATTCTAAAGGTATGGTTATATACATCTGTCTGTGTATCAATATCCGTCAGTTGTCTAAGGAATATAGTTCTTATTGACAAAAGCTATTGGATTCTCAAATCTGCAAGAAATATTCACTGGACGTGTCCAGTGTCATTGAGAAATTGCTCTATGTTGGCAAGTTCATTTTTACTTCATTATATCGAACAAATAAATTATCTATCTGCCTATGTATATAAAGAGCTCACAAGGAGAGGTATACTTTCCATGAAAGCCTTGTAATCTTTTAGTTGATTCATAAATATATGGATATTTTTTAAGTGTGCCTTTCTTGAGGGGTCATAAATCTTGCAGATGAATGTTCATAAAACAGAGTTCTTTTTTTAGAAACAAAATTTCGTAATTTTGTTTCGAAATTACACTTCACAATCACAAAATGAAAACAAATTGATTCATAACAAGGACCGTGTTAGAAATCCACGTTAAAAGGTAAGACCTCGTTAATCCTTAGCTCGCGGAAGGATGACAGCTGGTTAACAGGAAAACTGATTCCAACAGATTTTTTCAACATATACACGAACTGAAGTATTTGAAAATATTGTATGCATTATTTTGTTTCAGGTTTCCAAGCAAACCAGAAGTCTTGGTTTCTTATGATAAGTTAGGAAATAGAATGAAGCAATTAGAAAATTTTCTCAATAATTTGCTCTCTATAACAATTTATCGAAATCATCCTGCCACAGTGAGTATGTTTATCAGCAAAAAAAAAATTTTTATGGTGTTCAGCTACATCCTTTGAAGTTGTTCAAAAGTGAATTGATGAATGGAGAGCCGTTTTTGAACGTCTACAGGGAAAACATCAGCCATTTTGTTACAAAAAATACAGTTGATGTTTTCCTTTCATTCACTCCACCTAACTCTCTCATTTTAAATAAAAAAATATCGTATACATACAATTGTCATATCGTGTTTTATCAGTAAAAAAAATGTTACATAAATGGTTCCTCATTAGAAAAAAGTCAAAATGGTACTACTTGTTTTTTGTTTATTGTATCTTATAGGGCGAGGCAGATACTTCCTCAAAATGCATAAATAATAGGAAATTATTTAGAAACAGTCAGAAAGGGTAGAAAATATTGTATGTAATTTGGAAAACATAGACTACCTATTATTAAAGGGGATATAGAGTGTTAAGTTTTAGGGGTGTAAAGCATAAAAAATAATTTGTTATTTATTTCGGCAAATTTATGCATTTTATTAATAAAAATTGCGCGTAAGAGTTGTAGAAAATGAAAAAAACTACAACTTTTGTATTTATTTTTTGACATAACCTAAAAATTTCCATTTGCCATGACTAATTTTCCTGATGAAAAATATGTTTTGCATTGTACTACTTAATGACTGTAGAAACCGATAGTAGTTTTCTGTTTTAAACAATTTTGTAGCTGCAAAAATAACGTTGCCATGTAATTACGGTCACAACACATAACCACAGTATTCCACACCGAGCTTAGATTAGACATTTGAAATGATGGAATGAATTTTCGGGAAAGGTTTTGGCTTTCTACTCCTTCATCTTGATACAAAAAAGAAAGGACGGAAGGAATTAATTTCAAAAAATGAACTCTATTGGAAGATGTGTAGATCGTGCAAAGAAGTAACTTTCAGACACAAACTGGAAGAAAAAGCTATAAGAATCAAATATTGTCGTTGGAAGGTACTGCTTTACAAAAAAACTCAAAATAAAAATGATAGACTTCGGTTTGGTGAATAAATGTATTTATTTAGTGCCCATAATAAAATCAAATTGATTTAATTTCATTTGAAAATTGGTACACTCAATGAAACTCATGATCAACAGTGATTTCATTGTAAATGTATCTATTTATTTACTGCTGATGATAAAACAAAACCTTTCATCTGATTATTTCAGACGTGATGAATATTTGTGGGGTAACTCCGTGAGAACTATTTTACGGGTTTGTTGGCCATGGTCTACAGAATTTTATGCCTGAAGTTTCGTCTACTACTGAGGTAGACATTATCAAAGGCGATGTGGTAACGGTTGCAGTGTCCAAGTGGGTGCTCCCGTTGTTTCAAATGCATTCACAACGATGCTGGTATTTGACTCTGGTTTTATATTATTATTATTGGTCGTGGCTTGACTTCTCTTAATTGGATTACCTGATCTTATTTGTGTACCTCTAAGAACAGGTAGCCAGAGTTGATTGATAGTTAATGTTTCTTATTTTCTATTGAAATTATCCTTGTGTTTTTGAATTTCTATTGCCTCTGTATATATTCTTAGAAAATAATTTCGAGTTTTATCGAGTATTACTACATCTCCGAATGAGATAATGTGCCTTCTTTGTTGAGAGCATGTTTAGCTATAGCTGATTTGTCGGTTTATCCGAGTCTACAGTTTCTCGTGTTCAGAGAGCTCAGGCCAAAAAAACCGGAAAATAGCTTTCACACAGTTATCTCCGACCGTGAAAGTTTATATTCCTTGATTTGTGGGGTAGATGATGAATTATATTTCGAGTTATTTTGTATGATTTTCATCACATGGTTTTTTTCATCATTATTCTTGTCAAAATGTGTTTAATAGTGAAGGACTTATTAGTTACACTTGTTTTAGATAGAATTTTTGGAAGTATCTCATTTATCATTCATAGAAGGACTTGGATTCAAAGGAAAAGAAGGAATGATCAGGAAGAAAACTGGAAGTACTCATTATGGTCAGTCAGGATGCACTTGTTTTGGATTATTACATTGTTTTTGTTGTGTCAGGTAAAAAAAAAAGAAATACCCATATCTGTCACGTTAAAATACTTCTGTTGTTGTAAAGACAGCTCAAAAGTCATGAACAGCGTGCAAAGTATTAGGTTGTTTAAATAGTTTTGTTCGTTTTAATTATTTATCACGCTTTTATCAGCGTTATTGTAAAAAAAAGATTTTTAACTTTTTAGTTATATAAACTATATTTATTAAGAGTCTACTTCAAACTGTAATATCTCAGTGAATACTTATTCAATTTAATCAAAACAAGCGCCATTTGCACTTTTGCCAACGTAACACAAGTCAATTAATAACAGCATAAAAATTGAGTGATCGGGACTCGATGAAGTCGGCTAAGACCGTTTTGCCTGGTCCTGCGAGCGGTCTGGGGAGTATGATGGATGAGGCAGAACTTCACTTAGTTTGTTTACTTTTCAGACCGTGATTTGTGAAACGTGCAGACGGGCGTTGTAATGAAGCAGGATCGGGCCTCTTCTGTTGACCAGTGCCGTCTGTTACTGGCGCAATTTTTGGTATATTTTGTCGATTTTTTCACAGTGGGGCTCTGCTATGATAGTTTTGCCCGGTTGCAGAAAGTTATAGTTAAACACACCAGCCTCTGATCACCATCCAGTAACCATGGTCTTTTTGGTGGGCTTTCGCTTTTGGGAAGTGCTAGTGGTTATTCTCTAAAAGGTGGAAAGCATCGGTGGAGTTAGTATTTTTTCTTAAAAGAAGATTTAAGCTGAAGAAAACTGATTCCACCTATGCTAGCCATCTTTTAGAAAATAATCACGATTTCAACATGGACCAAGACATATAACATACATAAATTGAAGGGCAAAAATTAAACCTTCTAGAATCTCTGGAAATTGATAAACGCAAATATTCCAATCTCCTTTAAACGACCAACAGGGAGTTACTCATTCACTTCTTCTCATAAAATGTCATCAATAACTAACATATTTACTGTTTTCCTAGAAATAATATTGTATTAATTTTGCTTTCTTAATCTACCTGTTTTGCAAGAATTCATCATTGATCTAATTAAGTTTTGACATAAATTGCCAATATTTTACCTGTTTTCTTAAAAGTAATATTGTATTGTACCTAATTGTTTTTTTTTATAATCTGCCTAATTCACCAGATTTGATCATTTATCCAATAATTTTTGTCATTATCTATTGTTATATAAAAGATATTGTAGAATAGTTTCATGTACCAGTAACTGATGAAGCTATGGTAAAGCAAAACACGTTTTAAATAAAATTTATTGTGAAAATTTTATAATTATTATCAAGGATACTGGGGTTTTCACAAACTGAATAGCTCAATAATCTACAAATTGGTGGCTCATTAAGTAAACTCTTGAAGTTATTAACACCGTTTAATCAAGATCTTGTGATACCTTTTGATGTCAAAGTGCGTTTGGTAAGAAAAAAAATTAAAGTTTGAAACTTATTAGCGTTGAGTCAACACTATTTCATCTCACCTCCAAATATATCAGTCAAGTGATATTTCAGCCAGACTTTTACATTTGAGAGTTCAGCAAATGTAGTTTGGAGTATTTGGTAGAGTTTGGTTTTTCCAACTAGAAAATTATTGATTGAATTCCAGAAGGAAGTTGAAACAGCCTAACCTTTAATGAAGAATCGCTTTCATTTCTTAAATTCACTAATAGTAAAAACCCCATATTACAATTTTGGGACAATTAGAAATGTTTCATAATTCATTTCTATATCTGGCAATTTTGTTATTTCAATATGTGGAACATAATTACGATATAAAATTCATTTACCTTGAATATAAATTGCCCACAGGTCATTAGTTGCGAAACTGGAAGTACAACAATTAGATCCTGCTTGTATGATTTCAATAATAGGTTTCTAACCCAAAAAACAGAGAATCTGCTCAAGTGAAATAAAGGACAAACTGAAGAATTACTATTGTAATGTCTAATTAGTTTGTAACTTGTCTTATTTATAAACTTTGCCTCTGAATAAACTTTAAAATTGAGAAAATTTATTTTTATTAATTGGTTTTCTCAAGACGACACCAAACACCAGAACTGGAACATTCCTCTAGATGCGCATTTCACCATCCAAGATGACGTCTGAGAAGATGTAGTCTACTTACCTCGGTAGGTGAAACGCGTGTTGAGGAGAGTGTTACAGTTCTGGTGTTTGGAGAAAAAGGCATTCAATTTTCGTTAAAAACTCAATAACTATCAAAAATTTGGAAAAAATATCGTGTAAAAATAGGAAAAAGTCCAAAATTCCGAAATTCCATCTCCATTTATTTTTGATTTGAAGCCGAAAATAGCCATGTAAACATCGCCACATTAAATATTTTTTCTTAGTATCGAATATGAATTTGAAAATTACTCAATTACTAGTGGAGTGGTCAGTTCCTCTAGCAGGGTACGCGCCATCTGTTCTAAATGCAAGAAACTTCAGAAAACTCCTTTGCATATTTTCCAAAGTTTACTTGTGTATATTATAGAGAGGATACCAAATCAAAGTAGCTTACTCTAACTTAGAGCGAACTAGAGATGGTTGAGGCGGTAATATTGGTAAATGATTTACAGTTGTGCATAACAAAGCCAAGCAATTTTTCTAGCCGATGCCGCGACAGTATTGGTGTGGCCAACAAATGTCAACCTGCTGTTGAACGTCACCGCTAGATCTTTGACAGCTTCTTCGTAAAGGAGTATTTCATCTTCGAAAGTATAAAAATACTCTATAATATTGGCATCACATGTAAAGGAGCAAACATTGCACTTTTTAAAATTCATTGCCAATTTATTGATTTGACACCAGTTATCTATCAGGTCTAATTGAGACTGGAGATAAGATCAGCTCTCTAAACTTGTGATAGATGAAAACATCTTCAATTCGTCTGCAAAAAGTAAGTTGCCACACGAAAGCTCGGAGGTGAGATCATTTATGAAGATGAGGAAAAGCAGAGGTCCCAGATTGGAGCCTTGTGGCACACCTGATGGTGATAAGTATGGTGCAGACGCAAATCCATTATAAAAAAACAACATTGGTTCTCTGATCCAAATAAGAGCGTAGAAGTTGAGTTAGTGAGAGATTTGAACCCATTTGAGCTATTTTCTTATATAATTATATATATAATAACTTATAATATTTATCAACTTATAATACTTGTTTACAATATTTATATTGAATTCCTTATCAATAATTGTAGATTTTTCTAAAATTTTAATGTTTTTAGATGCCAACACATATGTAACGACATAATTTGTTCGAGGTGGGTAAAACGATGGTTTTTCATAAAAGATACCTTCTTTGGTTACATGAACCCTGACAATGGTCAAATAAGGTCTGTTATATTGTTTGATCAGGGTTTTGAAGTAGCAGCTGGAATGTATTCAATTGGTTTAAAAAAAGGGTTTCAAATTCAAACGTTGAGTAGACAAATGAGTTTCAAATGTTGGACCAGAAGAAAGAACAAAGAGTGGACAGGAATGCTGAAGGAAGTTGCCGCTACAACAGGTTATGTCTTGCTTAGATAATTATTAATCAACGGAATAATTTTTTGTTCATTTTTACTTATTGTTCTCAAAACAAGTTTCCACAAGATGATCGTGCCTATAAATTGGATTTTGTCATTTTAGCTAGAGAATTTGTTCAACCAAATAAAAACCACTCATTTGCTCCAATAAGAATAAACATCACTGCTTCATGGTTTGTCGATGGTGCGTCATATATGTCGACTGTAGCTGATGCGATAGATAATGCAAAAGAGGAAATCTTCATCACAGATTGGTGGTTGAGCCCCGAAATATATTTGAAAAGACCAGCTCTTGTTGGAGACTACTGGCAACTCAATAAATTGTTGCAGAGAAAAGCGGTAAGTTCAGTTAGATAACAACAATAGAATTGGAATTCTGAATGAGTTTTACGGGTTTAATATATTAATTAAGAGAATTTATGAGTACTCACTATATGATAACAATCTATTCCACATATGAATTGAGTTTTTGAGATCTTCACTTGCTATCGTCCAACCCGTGTTAGGAATCACACGTTAAAAGGTAAGACCTCGTTAATCCCTAGCTCGCACAAGTTTCGATTTTTGAGGGTTGTCGTTCGCAGGGGTGCGACAGCTGGTTAACGGAAAAACAGATATTTATATGATTTTGTGCTAATCAAATAAACACAGCTCTCAAAAAATGTTTTGGCTTTTTAAAAAATATCAATGGTGTACAAATTGCGGGAAAAAATGAGTTTTGTGCAATTTAGTCTTCATGAAAGTACTTGTTTTAGATTTTTTCTTTTATTTGGGAAAGTAACACTAGTAGAACTAGTATGACAGTAATAAAGTTGCAACCTCGATTGGATTCAATCAGCCAATAAGTGTGCAATTGTGCATCTAGTGGGATTTAAATTGATGTATGAATTCATCACTACCTAATTTTTTTCTCTTTATTCAGTCTTCTGTGTATTTCTCTACTCTGTGATTTGGTGTATAAAGTAAGAAAGAGAAAGTGATGTTCATAATGAAAAGTTGTTATTTCAGATGGGTTTTCCTTTATTTTTTCTATTTGAGAGGGATTATTCGACAGACCACTGTTATTCGCTAGGGTTCATTTTGGTTCATATCTATTCAAACTCGTCCAAATAAATCCGGCTTCCTAATGAAGCCGTTTAGTTTATTTGGTGAGTGATTTTTCAGGTCAGCTAGCAAGATTGAGACTCTGCCACCTGAACCGTTTCGCGGCAAGGCAGGCACATATTACTTGATCTGCTGGCATGGCTTGAATTTCCTAGTGAAGTCTTTGGTACATTTTTCTCTAGTTAGAACCTCCTAGGTTTGTTCGAAAGCTGGAGAACTGAGAAGCTTCCACTTTTGTTTTGAAGATACAGAAAAAACAGTTGGGGTCGTTTAATCAACCTTCATCTCCTCTGGAAACTCAGCCTGAAAGCTAGAAACCTGAAAAACTCTCGTTCTTGACATTTTGTTACAGGGATGACAGTTGGGGTTGTTTAGTCGACATCCACTTCCTCTATAGACATTATTTTATGCTCTTGAGAAGGTGGTTAATTGCTTCCTGGCTGCACCACCTAGTCTCCTAGGTTTGTTGAAGAACTGAGAAGCTCCTGTTCTCGACAGGGATGACAGTTAGGGTCACCTGATCAATCTCCATCTCCTCTGTGGACTCAGTTCAATAGCTGGAGAATTGAGAAGCCCTTTCTCTTGACCCTTTTGTTTTGTTACAGGTAGAATAGTTGGGTTCGTTTAATCGACTGCCATCTCCTCGTTTGTCCCAGGTTATTTGCAGGACCAGCTCAGACTATTTCATCTCCTCTCGATGCGGAATCTGTTTCTGCTGCTCAAAAATTTGGTGAAAAGCAGATTCATAAAATATCCTACCCTTGAGAAGGCGATAAGTCACTTCTTGTCTCCAACCACATAGTCTCATAGATTGGTGCAAGTGTTGGAGAACTGAGGAGCTCCTGCTATTGATCCGATGTTACAGGGATGACAGTTGGTGTCATTTGATCAACCTCAATCAACTCTGTAAACCTAGATGAAAAGCCGGGGGACTGAGAAGCTCTTTCTCTTAATCGTTTGTTATAGGGAGGACAGTTGGAGTCGTTTAGTTGTCGTCTGTCTTATCTATAGACTCAGTTTCGGGTTTATGGTTACTTCATGGACCATAAGGAGTCTCGCGAGTAGCAAGATAAAGAAGGTGCATGGTGGCAGAGCCCCGCATTACTGTGACAACACTTTATTCAGGGGGTGCCCAGTATCTCAAAGGTTCAGTTAGTGATCCTTAGTGGGCTCAAAGTCATATATTCATTCGACACGGACACATACGTCATTTGGAGCATTCCTACCTCCACGGGTGACACCTCACCTGACTCTTTTTCTGTATGCTGTATATTTTGATGTCTGTGGTAAAAAAATCTAGCGAAAGATTTTTGTCTTTTTTTTTAGATTTCGGGGGAACACTTCAATTCACTATAAGTTTCCATTTGTGAGACGATAATAGTAATAATATCCGACAGTATAATGATATGTAAATATACTAAAATTAAAAATGTAAAACAAATGAATAGTAACCTTGAACCGAAAACTACAGATTTTTGGCTTTTTACGAAAACCATCACCTCCTCGATTCAGATATAAGTCTCTACCAATCCATAAGTTTCCCCGTATTTTATTAATTTATTTTTAAAGGTTATCTCTAAAGGAAAGATTCAGAGGCGAGTTGAATGTTGCCATCTAATTTCCTCTAGATGGAATATATATGAACAATTATGTCGCAGACAATATGGTGACAATATGACTCGTTGTCGTTATAATCTATATGCACTTTCGAATCATATTGGGTCTACTAATAGCGAACATTACACAGCATACTGCAGACATCCCTACACAGGCACGTGACACGAATACAATGATTCACACGCCTTTGAGTGCAGACGTTTCATGAAAAGGAGGAAACCATGCACCTTTGAGATACCTGAGAGGATTTTTCTTTCAGTGTTTTGAAATATTATTTTTGGCCTGTTTATTTTTTTAAATTATCAATATATTCCCCATTTGGTGTCATTTCAAAATTCAGATATACTGAATGTTTGTTGGCTCTTTGAAAACTCCTTTCACAGTGGAGAAAAGCTGGAGAACTGAGAA